CTCTGTGGGCACCTAGCTCCCTTGCAGTGCTCCCCTTTCTTTGTATTTGACTGGCTCCTCCTCCTTAATTCCCCACTACCACCACTACTACTACTACAACCACTACCTCTTCCTGCCTATATACGTATAGCCGTCCTGCTCCACTTCTGGTTAGTGTGACTTTGTAAATGGTCCAAGTCGGACCGAAACGTCGTCGTAAGCTCCTCTCTTCTATGTGCGGGTTATTTGTGTATCGTTCCAGTCACGGTACTGTGCCTTTTTTTGTTATTTTCTATATTGGAGTATCACAGGCAAACTTATGACTAGTTAGGAATCATTATTTTAAGATTAAGATTCGTATTTCTGTGCTTATAGTCAAATGGGTGAGTGAGTGAATGCAAGTGTGAACCATCAGATGGTTTTTATGTAGTTAGTTGACGGGGTGTATCAGGGAGATAAGATGTTTTCTAACGGTAGTTTTTGGGTAGGGTGTTTCAGATTTTAGGGCCTTTGACATACACTGAATTTTTGTAAAGGTTTAGTCAGACACGGGGAATGTCATAGAGATGTTTGTGTCTGGTGTTATGCCTGTGGGTCCTGTCACAACTATCAAGAAAGCATTTTAGATCAAGATTAATACTGGAATTTAATGTTCTGTATATGTAGATTGCACAGTAGTAGTATGTGTGGATGTTCTGAACAGGGAGTAAGTTTAGATCTATGAAGAGTGGGGGGAGGGTGTTGCCAGGGATGGGATTTAGTGATTATTCTTACTGCGGCTTTTTGTTGGGTTATTACTGGCTTTATGTGTGTTGCTGCAGTTGATCCCCCAAGCACAAATAGCATAGGTGAGGTGTAGATAAATGAGTGAATGGTACAGTGTGAGAAGGGCACTTTGTGGCACATAGTATTGTATCTTGGAGAGGATCCAAACTGTTTTGAATATTTTTTTTGTCATGTGTTGGATATGGTGCTGAAATTCAGGTTGTTGTCGAGGTATAGGCTTAGGAATTTGCCTTCATTATGTCTGGCAATTAGTGTTGTCGATCTTAATGTTAAGTTGTGCAGCACCTGCTCTGCTACCAAACATAATATAGTAGGTTTTGTCAGTGTTAAGTGTAAGTTCATTGGCTGTCATCCAAGTTGATATTTTGAGCAGCTTCTCGTTAACAATGGTGTTGAGGGTGGCAAGATTAGGGTGAGAGATGACATAAGTCATGTCACCAGCAAAGAGAATGGGTTTCAGGTGTTGGGATATATTTGGAAGATCATTGATGTAAATGAGGAAGAGCAGGGGTCCAAGGACTCTTCCCTGCAGAACTCCAGTATTAAGTGGCCGTGTTGATAATGCTGTGTTTTTAATGGTGACATACTGATACCTATTAGTAAGGTAGGATTTGAAATATGCAAGCACATGGCCTCTCATACCATAATGGTCAAGTTTGTGGAGTACGATGCCGTGGTCTACTGTGTCAAAAGCTTTTCTTGGGTCAATAAAAATTCATAGCGGATATTCCTTATTTTTCAATGCTCTGTAAAGCGGATCTAGCATTTTTACAATTGCATAATTAGTGCTTTTATTTTTCCTGAATCCAAATTGGCAGGGGTTGAGTATGTTTTGTGCCATTATAAATGAATACAGTCTCCTGTGCACGAGTTTCTCGAAGATTTTGGATAGCAATGGTAAGCTTGATATTGGCCTATAGTTGTTTACGTCTGTAGGGTCACCACCTTTATGTCTTGGTGTAACCCTTGCTGTTTTGAGTAGTTTCAAGATGGTGCTAGTTTCTAGTGACTTGTTAAAAAGTAATGAAATAGCATGTGAAAGGACATGGGCTGCTCGCTTGTACAATAATGGTGGGACATGAAACAGATTCCCTGAGTTATTTTTTAGTGACTTTATAATCTCGGTGACTTCGGTGGGCTCAGTTGGTACAAGACAGAAGGAATTTGGGAAATTCCCATCTAGGTAGTCCCCGGCATGGGCGTTGGTAAGTGGGATTTTACTGGCAAAGATTAGATCCTATGGTTGAGAAGAAGTCGTTTATCTTGTTAGCTGTTTCAGTGGGATGTAGTGGTGTTTCATTAGGTTTAGTTAGAACAACATTCTTGTTTTTTTTTTCAGTTTGTGGGTCCCCAGAATCTGGGAGAGTGTTTTCCAGGTCTTTTTTATATCTCCTCTTGTGTCAGTGAATCTGCTGAAACCTTTTCAGGGTTTCGGCCGTACTAGTATGGCATACGAGCCAGGGTTTTTGACGTACTAGGACGCCTAAATTCTAGCGCCCTCAAATCTAGTGAGAGAAAGCTGGTAGGCCTACATATGAAAGAATGGGTCTATGTGGTCAGTGTGCACAGTATAAAAAAAAAATCCTGCAGCACACAGTGCGTAATGAGAGAAAAAAAACTTTGACCATGTTTTTGGATTAAAACTGCGACTTTGCACTGTATTTTCGAATGGTATTTATTGTTGTATTCTAGTTTTCCTGGTCTCATCTTATAGAATGAAAAACATATTACAGAAATTGAGATGATTTTGACTGGTTTTACAAAGAAAAGTACCTTGAAATTGAGCTCAAAGTAGCAGAAAAGTTTGATTTTTACCAAAGTTCAAAAGTAAAATCATGCTATGCGTCCAATACACATCAACTGGCGAGTCTGGTATTTTTTTCACAAGTGCACTGATATTATTTATACCATTTCTACACCAATGCAGTAGTCTGCATAACAGTAAATCTATTTTTTTGTGAGAATAAAAATTCAAAGTGGAAAGCAAAAGAATGTAAGAGGGGAATGGGGACATGACTAATGAACAGAGGAAATGTTATTTTAGTGCCAGGAATGTCTTTTTTGTTTATTCTGGACCCTATTCGGAAATTGGCATCTTTTGAAATTTGTGTGAAATTGGCAAAATTGCTAAATTCTGACCACTGTAGTGGATAGTTGAAATCGGTAAATGGGTGGTTTCTTGTACTCATTCGATAGAAAAAATGGAGTTATAGCGAAATAGTTACGATTTTTGTTGACAAGTACACTGGAATTGGCCGAAAATAGGGCTCAAAGTGGGCAAAATCGCCGATGCGTAAACATCATCGAGACCGCTAACTTCGCGAGAGCATAATTCCTTAAGTTTTCCATCAAATTTCATACTTTTGGTCTCATTATGATCGGGAAAAGATTCTCTATCTCTTCACATGAAAAAATTATTTTTTTTTTTTTTTAAATTTGGCCGACCCTGAGAACAAGTCTCTGAGAGGGCCTGTCGACCCTGAAAGGGTTAATATAGGTGTAAAGCATGGGTGGTGAATGTTGAAACAAGGAGAAGGATGTAGGCAGTAGAGATGTCATGTCTGAGGGCAATGTGTGGCATGAATGTAATGCAGAGAATCCATAGTTTGGAAATTAAGAGGAGGTGCAGAGTAATTAAAAGTATTATCCAGAGGGTTGAGGAGAGGTTATTGAAGTGGTTCTAACATTTAGAAAGGATGGAAAGAAATAGATGACTTGGAAAGCGTATAAATCTGGTGGGGTAGGGATCAACCTTGGAAACATTGGAGGGAGTGGGATAAAGGAAGTTTTGTGTGCAAGGGTCCTGGATTGAAATCCATACCCTATCTGACATGCGTGAGTATGTCAGATAGGAAAGAGTGGAGACAAATGGTTTTTATAACTAGAAATGTTGTTGGAGTGTAAGCAAAGTAACATTTTTGAAGGGATTCAGGGAAACTGGCAGGCCAGACTTGAGTCCTGGAGGTGGAAAGTACAGTGCCTGCACTCTGAAGGAGGGGTGTTAGTATGTTACAGTTTTTTAACTGTAGTTTAGGCACAACTCTGGCAAGACAGTGATGGAGTGAATGATGAGAGTTTCTTCTTTTTTAGGTCACTCTGCCTTGGTGGGAAACAGCTGATGTGTTAATAAAAAAAATATCTGAGCAGACCACAGCAGAATGCATACAGACCATGGTGGTGACTAAAAGTGAGTATAAGTGTAAATGTTGTGTAACTTATTCCAGGTGGGTCCCTTCCACCTCACATCACTGCCAACAACACACCACTACACATGACCACACACTACTGCCAACCACATACCACTGCACACCACAACACACAGTTATTTTAACCTTTAAATTAGAGTATATTTAAGGAGACTGTCAGTTCCCCTGTCTTCTAATATGTTATTTTTCCCCTATAATCTACCTTTTTCATAATTACTATCACATTTGCTTTGTCTGTTTTCGTATCATAAATGTGTTGTAGAGGTCTCAGCTTTGCTCAGACCTCTACAGCACAATTGCCATTAAAGATTTGTTAAGTTATACCATAAATTAAGGAAAGATCCTAGACTTCACCTTATGAAAGCAAACAAGACATATACAATAGTAATTATGAACAAGGTAGATTATAGGGGAAAAATAAACATATTAGGAGACAGGGAAACTCTCACACCTCTTATTGCTCCAGTGCACTCATAAAGCATATGTTTATTACTGAAACCCTATAATAGCCCTGCATTACAATCTTTTTTTTAAACGAATTTATGCATTTTAACTTAGAGCAGGAAGATACATACCAGGACTTGATGACCACACTCTGGAACTGTCTTGTTTGTTAACTGCAGACATCCACCACAGTCTTTAGCACATGTTTGTGGACATGGGTGGCCACAAGGAAGAATCTTCTTACATGTCTTATCACATCTGCCACATTCATCAGAACATTTCAACTGACATGGATGGCCACATGTCAGGATCCTCTCACATTTCTCATCACATCTGCCACATTTTTCAGAACATTTCAGCTGACATGGATGGTCACATGTCAGGATCCTCTCACATTTCTCATCACATCTGCCACATTTTTCAGAACATTTCAGCTGACATGGATGGCCACATGCCAGGATCCTCTCACATTTCTCATCGCATCTGCCACATCTTTCAGAACATTTCAGCTGACATGGATGGCCACATGTCAGATCCTCTCGCATTTCTCATCACATCTACCACATTTTTCAGAACATTTCAGCTGACAAGGATGGCCACATGTAAGAATCTTCTCACACTTCTCATTACATTTGCCACATTCCTCAAAACATTTCAGTGAACATGGATGGCCACATGTCAGGTTCTTCTCACATTTGTTGTCACATTTACCACACTTCTCAGAACATTTCAGAGGACACTGATGGCCACATGGCAGGAGCTTTTCACACTTATTTTTACACCCGCCACATTCCTCTGTACAATTCCGAGGACATGGATGGCCACAGAGTAACATCTTCTCACATGCCTGGTTACATCCACCACACGTATCAGAACATTTCTGTGGGCACGGGTGATTACATGGCAATGTTTTCTCACACTGCTTGTCACATCCTCCACATTGATTTGAACACATTTTTGGACATGGGTGTCCACAAACCAAACTTTTCTCACATTATAGTTACATTTATATCGAACATGATTTGGATCATTGTTGATGTGACAGATAAGTCTACATTCATGGCCACATGTTAACTTAGTGTTGCAGTTTACTGTGCACTGTGCACTCTTAGGATCTTTATGACATGGTATAATAATCTTGTGTCCACAGCCAGGCTTCTCCTTTTCCACTCTAGAATCACACACATATGTAAGCGGTGAAATGTGGCACTTAAGTTTGTGACTGTGACTACAGGGTAATAACATAGTCACAATAACAGTGCATTTCAGACATTTTTCCCAGCACCGAAGATGGCAACCATGATTCCTTTCACACACCCGAGAACATTTTAAATTACATTTATGAAGTGTGTGGTCAGCATCATCTGAATGACAGCGTCTTGGGCATCTGTGCTCACAGTTAGGGAGAACTGCTAGGCAATCTTCCCAACAACCTCCCTCTGGACTCTTTTCAGCAAAATCTTCTTGAGATGAAACTTTGATTACATTATGAGGATGATTTTTGCATTTCAGAGTAAGTGCATGGCTCAGTGAGTCTTCTTTTACAAGGTCAGCCTTAACCTGCTTCCATAGATTACTAGAGGCACATAGCTGATTCATATTACCTATAATATAGAAACCATATTTAGCACGTGACAGTGCCACACACACACGGTTATCAATTCTCAGAAATCCTATTTTGCCTTCATCATTACTGCGCACCAGCGTTAACAGAATGATTTTGTTTTCTTCACCTTGAAAATTATCCACAACAGAAATTCTCACACCTTGGCAACTTGTTTTATCCCTCTGGAGCTGAAAATAAAAAATAATTATTATTGTTATGGGGTTCGAGGAGCAACTACGTATCTGTGTACCTAAGTAGCAGGAAAAGACTCATTATTTGCAATACCTAGTTATAATGAACTGTTGGGGGCACAACTGCCTTGATTCTATCACAAGAATTGATCACTTACATGGAGAGGCAAAATGTGTTAACCCTGTATTTCAACAAAAATAGGTTGTTGTAAATCAACATACACAATTATAATAATCCCATTGTAAAAACACTATTTTAAAAGTAAAATAAGTCATAGTTATGGGAGAAAAAACATTATTAATATAGTTGTTAAGAAATTGTGCATGGTGATGTTCCGTAAACCATACCCCCGGCTGGGATTGAACCTGCGGTCGGGCTGGAGTTTTGAGACTCTATGACCGCGGGTTCAATCCCGGCCGGGGGTATGGTTTGTTTGCAATAGTGTCATTACGATTTCTTGAGTCATGTTGACGGCAGTGAAGGGACTTGAGCTAGAGTTCATCACGGCCATGCTAGCTGGAGATTCGTCTGTAAAAACTTGCATTTGTGGTCACAGTGGTGCCTGTGCTAACCTTCCTATGGTGTAGAAATATACCTAGTTGGATGAATCTTATTGTGGCTAGCTGGTCTAGTGGCTAACGCGACGGGCTGGAGTTTTGAGACTCTATGACCGCTGGTTCAATCCCGGCCGGGGGTATGGTTTGTTTGCAATCGTGTCATTACGATTTCTTGAGTCGTGATGTTCCGTTGTTGTTGTGGGTATAAGAGCAGAGGTGAGACTGGGTCAGGCTCCAAAAAAAATTATAACCTTACTTTTTAAAGGGGTGGACCGGTAAGCTAGCGGAAGGCCTCAGACAGATGACCCAAAGCTCCAGTGGTAGGTCATCATTTGACTAAGACCCACACCAAGGAACACTTATCCTGTTTCCTGACAATCATTTACTAGACAGCGACAGCATCAACAGTGCTCATAAATCTTTTCAGTCTGCTGGGCCAATTTATGCTCAAATGATCGCCTAATTGCAAGTATTACTGCATTAACCCTTAAACTGTCCAAGCAGATCTATGTTCACATGCGTAGTGCTCCAAAAGTAGATCTACATTTTTTTTTACATATTTTCAAATATAACAAAAAAAAAGTAGATCAAAGTTTTTTACATGTTTTCAAATATTAAAAAAAAAAAAAGATCTACTTTTTTTACATACTTTCAAATGTTGAAAAAACATAGATCTACATTTGGACAGTTTAAGGGTTAACATACATGGAACCCATAATGACCCAAGAAAACTGACAGTGATGTCAGCAAATTGACCAAACACAACTAAAAAAGGACTGCCCAGCATACCAAACATCATCCCTGCTGCCAGACATACAACCAGCCAAGCGATGTGTACTACTAAATTCTCAGTAACTGCAACACCCACATCAATTGCACCAATGTTCATATGGGAGGGAAACAGAGGAGAAACAACTCAAAAAAATAAAAAAAAGGAAGCTTTACCCATCATGTCTACCCTGGAGGATGCCAGCACATCATCTATTCCCATGACCCCTGTCCAAGGCTGCACAACAACAACAACAATTATGGCAGATGACTACAAGTCATTCCCAGGTTTCAGCCATCCTTCATCCTCACCCACTTCCCACACTCCAGCTTACCACATATCATCAACCATGGCTAACCTACAAGACCTATTCACCCCAATCAATGGCAGTGACTACAGCTCATCAAAATTCCCAAGTCTAGCCCAGGTATGCAGTCCTCACCAACAACCTGACACCATTCAGAGCACACAGACATTCAAACAACTGTTGTGAGTCATACTGAACAAATAACTTCCATAACTACCAAGTTGGCAGAGACTGTACAAGATTGGAAGTCAAACATGGACACTCAATATCCATGTTTGACTTCCAGTATCAAAGGGGTCTAATTGAACAAGGAAAATTGCAGGAATCTCCAATTCTAAACAGACCTTATTTACCCACAGACAAACCAGGATTCTTTCTCACACAATACACTTCAGCTATCTAACATAAGCTGAGGCTTAACACAGAAACTAACCCTATAAAGGAGGCCTGACTGCTAGGCAGACCGGGTCAAAAACAGTGTTATGCTAAGATTCCATTCAATTGACAAAAAAAAAAAAAAGGATTTAATTCTACCATCAAGATGAAGTGTACAATGTATGTAAACAAGAGTAACAAGAAAGCAACAGAATCTATTCTACAGACTTCGTAAACATAAACGTGAAAACAATGAAAAGATTAAACAATGTTTTACTGGTGATGGCATAATCACGGTAAGACCATCAGACAGGGGTCGCAGGTATGTAATAACTAATGAACAAGACCTATCGAGTCTCCTCAGAGTTACTGGTCTTACAGAGTCTAATTCACTGATCAAGTCAACACTGTAGAGTGCAATGAACCCAGTTCTTTTTATTGTTGAACAAACAGTGCCTTACTTTACTTTTTTGTTATTAATTACTCTTACAGGTACTCCTCACTTACTGAACCAGTTAGGTTCCTAAGAGTAGGTTGGTAAGCGAATTGGTTGCTAAACAATAAGCTGCCCCTTACTGATGTTTCAAGCATACTGTACTGGTAGTGGGTTTGTGTCAACCATTTTTAGATATTGTTTTAATGTCATCTTTGCACCATTAATATTTTTTTAGTGAGTTAAATAGAACTAGGCATTAAAAATAATAAAAAAGTAAAATACACATACAGTACACTCATTACTTACCTTAAAATATTTGCAGTCTTGATGTAGGATGAGATGTGAGTAGCATTTATTACAGCAATTATGTACCTCTGTAATCTTTTGACTACCACCCACAGGATGGGTATTGGGAGCATAATGAAGATATTAAACTACTACTGTATATCAAATAAATTTTCCTCATTTAAATTAACTGAAAAGCAATTAATCTGTTCCTGCACTCTGGAGGCAAGAAAAAATACTTGAATATGATACTATTACCAACTGTACGGCTTATTTATCTATCACAATTCATCTAATATGACATAATAAACAATATAATTAACATCGAAACATGATATATACTCTAGAATGAATAAAAGAGCCCATAATATGATGGCAGAGGCAGCAGTGGAAGTGTCTGCCATTTCCTGTCCCACTCTGACTATTGTATCTTTCCATGCTCTTATTGTAAGAGAAAATGAAATATTTTTGAGGCAAACTGCAGTAGATCACTAGTTTTCTAAGGAAAAACACAAACAATATACTTATAAATAAAAATATCAGTATATAAAAATATAAAAAATCAAAATACACTACAGAATGTAAAAAATATTAAACTGTTTATATAAAGTGTGCATGTACTTACACACTTGGAGTAGAGATGGTGGGGGAGGCTGAGGGTGGGGGAGGCTGAGGGTGGGGGATGTTGAGGGTGTGGCGTATGATCTCAGTAGCCCTGTAAACCTTCAACAACATCGTTTTGTTTGATCGCTGAGCTTAACTGATACAATAAGTCACTGCTACGACCCTGTGCTGTACTTTCTACAAGATTGATGGACCGAGCACATCAACTCCAGGCTGAGGGACTGATTACCTCAAACTCCTCCTCTCCTTATACCTTCCTGCTCTGTATAGGACTGAAGCCACTCTGTGGCAAAACGTTTCTTCAATAAATATTCCCAAATGTTGCGTAAGTGTCTCAATTCCTCGACTTGTTGGTTTTCAAAACCATTCATCACAATTTTTGTTGTTTAATCCTTAAACTGTCCAAACACAGATCTAAGTTTTTTCAACATTTGAAAGTATGTAAAAAATATATTTTTTTTTTTTTTTTTTTTACATTTGAAAATGTGTAAAAAAAATTTGATTTACATTTTTTTTTTTGTTATACATGTATTTGAAAATATGTAAAAAAAGTAGATCTATTTTTGTAGCACTGCGCATGTGAACGTAAATCTGTTTGGACAGTTTAAAGGTTAATCACTGAATTTAACTGATACAGCTTTAGTATCTACATATCATAGATGTACTAAGCTGGTATTGCCTGGCAAAGTCCATGGAAATCGTCTTTTTCTTCTCAGCATTGTCTTTTGCACTTATTTTCTTGGGATCCATGGTTAGAAAAAAAAATTTGGCCAAATGACTAAAAAAAAATGCAAGCAAGCATGAGAGAACTGCTCCCACAGCAATGTAAACATGTGTACTGCATACCTGATGTTTTGGCATCAGCTGTGCCAATTAGTGGCAGCATTCTGAATTATTACGTACGTATTATTATTATTAATTTAGGGAACTGAAGCTCTATCATTAATATTATTATCATTATTATTTAGGGAACTGGAGATCAGATCCAATTCCCTAGATCAAGAGCCCCTCACCACTGGTGAGGGGCTCTTGATCTAGGGAATTGGATCTGTCCTCTAGTTACCTAAATTAATAATAAAAATAATGCAGTGGAACCTCTACTTGCAAGCGCTTCCACGTGCAAGTTTTTCCAAATACGTACGAGCAGTCAATGGGTCGGTTTCTTGCTTCTATGCACAAGCGAAATTTCCAGAAGCGAGCGAACCTCAGGAGAGATTCTTTGACGCTGGTGAGGGGCTTTTGCTCTTGATCTAGGGAATTGGATCTCATTTGTTTGTTGGACTATCTTTTTGAAACCTGGGCAATGTATGATGGAAAGATGCTTCTTAACGTACACCAAAAATGAAAGAAATCGAACCATAAATAATGGAGTTCACTTCTCAGCAATTAGCCACCCCTTAGCAGTATTTTCGTATGGCTTTTATGGTTGTATTCTCGTGTTTTGTGGTCTCTTTTGATAGAATGGAAGATATATGGAGGGATATGTTGTGTATCTTTATATGTGTATGCTTCTAGACTGTTGTATTCTGAGCACCTCTGCAAAAACAGTGATAATGTGCGAGTGTGGTGAAAGTGTTGAATGATGATGAAAGTATTTTCTTTTTGGGGATTTTCTTTCTTTGTTTGGGACACCCTGCCTCGGT